ATTGGCTTTGATTTCTGGCCACTTATCTTTTAAAAATTAGTGTGCATAAATTATTAGATATGAAAATATTACAGTTAAATAATTTCGAAGTCCCTTATTGAAACTAAATATTTAAAAAATAAAACTTTAAGAAACTACCCTTTTCGCACCTTAAAATTTGGATTTGATATTACTTTTCTTGATGTACGCAGACTTTATTGACTAACTGTAGGCTTGATTAGCAATATGGGGGGGGATATTGGATAAAACTCGTAGAAGATACAAGGCAGAAGAATTTCCCATTGGTTTTACAGGTATAGTAATGCTGCTGTCACTGTGCAGTTCTGTCTTTATTTTGAGAGAAAGGCAATGCAGGGAGTGGTTCAAGAGACTCCCATCCCTGTTCCCCTACAACCAAGTTTTCAAGAATTTTTGGCTTGCCATGTATATTGAATGCTCCCTTACCACAGAAAAAAGATTTTCTAATAATCAACAGAACCCAGGTCTCAAATTAGTCTAGGTTTATCCCAGACAAGAGGTATTTCAACCTGGGTTTCATTCCTTGCCAATAGGCAGGTGCTTGGGAGTTCCTATGGTTTATTGTATGCATACGATTAATAAAATGTAGTTTTCCACAGAAAGTCATCCAAGAAATTTTGCATGCTGTGCCATAATCAAAATTAACAAACGGGCATCTTTTGAGTCCACTATGAATTAAATAACACAAAAAGATAAAACACTTATAGAATATATCTTTAAAATCCTATTTAGATGAATATGTATGGCATGATCATTTGCTTACAATAAATATAATTTCTTGTTTTATTCAATGACTTAAGACAAAAAGATAAATTTGCCTGGTTGTGGTCTTCAATGTTCTTCCTTGCAGGTTTGTTGCAAAAAGTTAAGATACTAGGTTACAACAACATTGCATCACCATGTCTTACTGTGTCCTAGTGCTTGGAGTATTCCATCTACTTGCAACTGTCACAAAAAGGTGTTACGACTTCTTTAAATAAATATATTCTGATTTATTGGAACACTGCACTTAGTAAAATGTTTATATTTAATTTTTAAATTCCTAGATTTCCTCAAGACTTTAAAATCTTTTTTCCACATTTCTAAAAATTTGAAACTGATCTATTTAACGGTTTCAAGACCATTTGAGCAAAATTTCACAATATAATAATAAATAATTAAGGAAAAAACTCTAGCAATTCTCTTTCAACAGTTTTATGATATAATTAAAAAAAAAAAAAAAAAAAAAAAAAAAAAAAGCACTATGCAAGTATACATGTTGAAAGGAAGGTTTTCCTCTATAGATCTGCATAAAATTATTTAACAATTTAAAACACATATAGCAAATGCATACTTAGTTTTGATGAATTTATGTTCCTTATTTCTACTCATTGAGTTCAAAATGCTGGTAATTTTATCACTCAATTTACATATTTATTCAAGAATTATTTAAATTCTCGTCTTTTTCCTTGCATTTTCAATGTGTGGTACTCTATCAGTTCTAATACTTAAAAAAAAAAAAAAAAAAAAAAAAAAAAAAACAAAAAAAAAAAAAAAAAAAAAATCACAGAAACACTTCTAGAAAATGCATAAAAGAGTTAGTTACTTCCTTTCTATCTTCAGTGGAAACGACTGAGAAAAATAGCATTAACTTTTCACCTTAAAATTTTTATATATTTTATTATTTGGCATATTAAAAAAAAAACTTTTTCTGCATCACCACAATTATTTCTAACTCCAAGTTAACACTAACACTTTAGTATCATTTAATATTACATGAAGCTAATAAAATGATGATCTGATACAGTGCTAGTAATACTGGACCCTGATTAACGCTTCATCATACAAGATTTTTAAAAAATGATGGGCTACATCTTTTGCAGCATTTATATTGACGTCTTCAATAAACATGAATGCACCAGTCCATGAAACAACAGTTCAAGACAATTTAAAAAAACAGTGCGAGGTTAATAAACCTGGGCATGTTTTTTATGTTAACTACAAGACAATTAATTAACATTAAGCTTTTCTAAAGAAGAGGAAAAAAACAAGGATAAAATGAATTTTTATATGACAAAAGATATGTTTCAATACTGAATATAAAAAATTTATCTCAATGATGACAGCATACTTTTTAAAGCATGAATTTTATACATGTTCTTTCACTTTTTACATGAAATCCTGACTCAAAATTTGGTTTTAGGAATTCCTTAGTTTGATTATTTAAATAAAATGAAAACTTTCATTATAGACTACTTTGAATATTAAATTAGGGAAAATTTACTTACCTTACCTTGAATCTTCCATCAGGATTAACCCCCAGTGTACTCATCTTGCTTGAAGATGCATCTACATGCCATACAAACCCAGTATTAGAAATAAGCATCATAGAATTGGATTAAGTTTAATTCAGAACTAACTTAAAGCTTTTACTTACTCGTTTTTGATACTGTCTACAAGTTGCTCCTGATCATATGAATTCTTATCTCTCCTCACTGGCTGTGAAGTATTCCACTTACCTTGTCTTACTGCTGTCTCCACTTACCTTGTCTTACTGCTGTCTCCACTTACCTTGTCTTACTGCTGTCTCCACTTACCTTGTCTTACTGCTGTCTCCACTTACCTTGTCTTACTGCTGTCTCCACTTACCTTGTCTTACTGCTGTCTCCACTTACCTTGTCTTACTGCTGTCCACTCTTGTCACTGCTGTCTCCACTTACCTTGTCTTACTGCTGTCTCCACTTACTTTGTTTTACTGCTGTCTCCACTTACTTTGTTTACTGCTGTCTCCACTTACTTTGTCTTTTGCCTCACTTTTATCTCCACTTACTTTGATCATTAGGCCCTGTAACTGCAGATAAAAAAAAAAGGTCTGTTACTAAAAAATAATCACTTACTGGTCATTTTACAAAAGCAGTCAGCACAATACTGATTTTTAAGTTTACAGAATACTAGCAATTCTTTATCTGAAAGTTTTTATTTGTGCACTTATTTTTAGAAGCTAATGTAAAATTTCCATACGAATTGTGTCAAGTTATGGTTTAAGTACAAGTTCAGTTTCTTTCTTGGTGCATGGAAATAATTTGATTATTTATTATGAAATTTTAAAAAAATAAATAATACTTGATTTGGAAATGAAAATTTTTGGATGGAATGAATTTTAAAAAGATATTGTGATTGAACAGAACCAAATATTATAACCACTTCAAAAGCATGAACCTTTCTAGAAGAAGCAGACATGTTTGATTGTATTTAGCACCTATTGCACAGAAATATGAAGAAAACACTGTCAAACAGTGCAACGAAATTTTTTAGACCTACCTAGTTTCAAATTATCACCATCACCACAAGATACTGTTGAAAATTCGGTACTTTCAGATTATCAATTTTCCTGATGAAATACTGTGACACAGTATTCATAAAGCAAAGCAGTATGCCACTAAAATGTTTATGCTGCAACCCAGGTATGCACATAGCTAGCTCAAATTAGGTATTTGAGGTCAAAGGCAAAACCAGCCACTTTTCTTCATCCTTCCCAAGATAACGCCATGAGAGATTGTCTCAAGAACTTTTCATTCTTCAGGCCCCTCAAAATGGCATTTTCCAAGGTTACAGAAAAAAGCTACTTAGTGTGGCTGAATGCCTGTATAATAACTGAATATTCAAATGCATAGCACATCTGTTTTGGCCAGTATACAATGCTAAAGTTTGTATAGATGTCAAATTGACACAATTTTCTGACCTTTTTTTTAAATGAAAACAGACTGCTGTGTACAAGGAAGAACAACAGCTTTTTTGATAACATTAATAATATTACAATAACAAATTATAATATTATAATTAATGGTCATAATAATATGATTTATATTAATAATAATATTACAATAACATTAATTTTTTTAATTAAGGCAGATAACAAATATAACACAAATATTTTATTACAAAAATAAAAAATGTACTTATGTATTTTCCTTTTGACCATTTTTCACAAATAAAAATTGTTGCCAAGCAGTGTGATTTACCGGCAGTATGAGTGCTATGTCATAACACACTCAAAAAATCCTGCCTTTGATTTTATGTGATCCTAATTCTCAGCCATCCATTTTAATGTCTGTATTGAAGGATATAACTTAACAGCTATTCCTCAGTTTTTTTTTATTGCATTTTAAAAATAAAAATCTGAGACTTGCTTTGTACAGAACAGCAAGTAGAAAAATATTTTTAAAGTTATGGGACTGGCTATACTGATACCAATATTCAAAGCATTACACTGTAGAGTTCGTCAAGATGGCACTTAGAATAATGAACCACTGTTTAGATTTATATTTAAGCCAACTTACATGGGACCCAGTTCCCAATGAAAATATTGGGTACTTTTCCGTTTCGCCGGCGCAAATCTCACCAAGCAGACTTTATTGGCGACAACATACAGTATACACATAAAAAATATTTAAAAAATGTTAGTTCTAAGAATTCTTTTAAAAAAAGAAGGCATAAACATTTTAATATCGCTTAAAATTTTATAAAAAGCCAATAAATAAAGACAATAAGTTTGCAAAAGACATTAATTTAAGAATTTACTATACTTTCATGGTTCAACATCCTGTTTCGCCGGTTCATATCACGTGACCCCAAGCGATCTAATCTCACGTAAATTACTCTACAAAAATCTAATGCTCTCAGTAATTATCTACATTAATTTCAAGTTAAATCTTAATTTGGAACACAAGTAAATGCAAGAAATATTTCAATTCATACGAATAGCTTACTCAAAAATTATGTAAAACTGCAGTGCTTTACTTCGCTAATGCATTCTCATTAGAATGGATGAATATAACTCGACTTTACCTTTTCTATATTTTCGGCTTCGGGTAAGCGCTGTGATTGCATCCTAATTGACTTAATTACCGAAAATGGCCTTAGACATAAAACTGAACTATCTGATAAAAATTCTATGTAATTATATGCAGTATTGAAAGAAACAATCAATCTGATAAGAAAAAGCTGCGACTTGTTTTGAAAATGAGGCGTAAAAGGTTACCAGCGAGAATATTCCGTTTGGCATCGGTTTTACCATTATTGGCAACTTTATCGCTTGTGCCGGCAAAACGGAAAAGTACCAAATATTGCTATTTAAATGCTGTTAAGAATGATTAAATCTTTACTTGTTAGAAAATCTCAAAGTTTGAACTTGTATTCATTTAAGGTCTTTATAAGCTATATTATAAACTTATTGAACTGTTGATTATCTAATTAATTTAAATGCAATCTATTAACTACCTTATTAAATAAAAAGCAATTTGTGATAATATAACTAAAGCAGGAGCGACGCATTTCTTCGAACTTCTGCCAGAATGATTGCCGCAAGCAACTTTCATGGTCAATGGAAAAATACGCAAGTACCATAAAAAACAAATATGCAACCAAATATTTGATTTCTAGTTATTAGACAGGTTCCTTTATACAAGCATTTTCTTTTGAATCTATGGATTTTTGATAACTTCCAAAAGAAAACTCAAATTTTAGGAAACACATTAACTACTACTTTATATACATATATGAAACCTATATGAAACATGCAGAAGTTTACTCATATATTAACAATGTACAGGGTTTTCAGAACAATCTTGAACTGTTATTTCATGGACCAGTGAAAAAGGAATTTTATTAGAAACTATAAGAAAAAGTCTCCTTCATCATATGTACTTTTAAGAATAGTACCTTGATTTGTATTACATAAGAGATTACTGAGAAATACATCTTACAAACAGAAATAATTGAAATAAAGCAATAAATTTTTCTTAGATATTTTATACTAAAAACTACAAGACTGGAATTAATTTGCAATTCATATTCATGCTTTTTAATTACTTCTTGTATAATTATCTATATGCTGAATTATACAGCTTTAGTCAAATATTCCAAAAGCCAAGTAAGTAGAGCAGTCTAGTACAAAAACAAAGAATTATATCATTAAATCTAAAATTATAATACATGCAGCATCTGAAAGATAAAACTGAAATGCATCTTAATGATATTTTTCGAACTATCACAAAGTACAATTCTGCTATTGCTAGGCTGCCCCTAATACATTATAAAGCCAAGTTGTTGCAGCCAAATAACCTATCCATACAGCTAATTGATTTTAATGCTGAAGAATGATCCCAAAATTAATCAAGGTCTGGTCTTCTTTCCCACATACAGAAAGATACAAAACTTTAGCTTTCGCATCTTGATGACCTGTCAACCTTGAATATCCTGAAATTTGTATGAAAAAGTAAGTAAACTGTAAAAAGTACATACACAGAATACTGGATAAATTTATAGATATGCAGTTTCTTATTACATTAACTACTAATAATTAGACCCAACTACATTTCTTAACACGTTGAGCGCTGTGACAGTCCCTGGGGACCGGCAGTGAACTTTCCATGTGGGCGCTGTCGGTCCCTCGGGACCGGCACTGGAATTTTCATTTGGCTGGCTTCAATTACATTTAAAAAATAAATATAGTCTCAATGAAATGTAATCAAATTAATTTTAATGAAATTTATTGAAACATTCTAAACAAAAATACCGCTTAGCTCACTGCCGGCTGAATGGAAAGGACAGCAAATTCGGCACCACGCTCAATGTGTTAATTTAGTCTTTTAAATCAAGTGAAAATTTTGCTGATAAACTACTTTGAACATAAATTATAAAAAAAATTGCTCACCTTAGTCAATAGGCTCAGTTCTTTCCAAATATTCTGTTTATATTTAGTGAACAGAAAAAGAACCTTCTTTTCAAATTAATCCTTAAAAAAAAAAAAAAAAAAAAAAAAAAAAAAAATTAAATAGGATGCTGTAAGAATAAGCAAAAAAGAAACCTATGAAGACTGTCAATTAAATTATAACTATCAGACATATTTAATAAAAGGGAAAATTTTTGTCTAATTCTTTGAATTCATCTTTAATTATTCATATTTATTCCAAACAGACTGATGATTTGTAATTATAAAAATTTATTTATTACATATAAAATATGGTTGATCTTTACATTATGGTAACTTGGCGTTTTTTTGGCGAAAATTCGGCGACCAACTCTTCTACAGCAACCCTCTATTTTTTTTTCCCGCCGCCATTTTGTCTTCACAAAGTAAAGACATGTTTTTTTTTTTTTTTTTTTTTTTTCTTTTTATCTACTGAACACTTCTTCCAACAATCTACTAGCCGAATTACACTTATGCTAGAAATTTTATCAAACAAAACTGCTTAATCATGACAAATATTCACTGCAAAATTGGGAAAAAGTGCACAATACCATACTCCTTACGCGTTTTTCAAAATAACACATACACATAAACCATGTACACGCCGACTTATTTTTACTTAAAAAAAATCCCAGAATTACACAAAAATGGCATTGCGCACACTCTTCACTATATCCATGTACATTGCTTTTTTCTCATAAATTAGAAAAATTTCACGAAAATACATGACAATTTTCTGAATCTTTAAACCCGGTAAAAAGAACATATATGAAATTACCTGATCGCGAAAAAGTTTATACCCTTTCCAAAGATGAACATTTCCACATATAAAATAAATAAAATATCCAAAAACTTTTACCTCTAAATCATCTATTATATTATACACGTCACCAACGAATTCATACCGCAAGCATTACAAATACAGTATCAAATATTTAAATTATTTCCATGCACGTTTACTTCAACTAAAACGTATACCAAATTCCTACAAACATAAAATTCACAAAATAACTATCATTTAATTAAAATATCACTAAACCATGTACACGTCAACTTATTTTTACTTAAGAAAACATCCCAGAATTGCACAAAAATGGCATTGTGCACACTCTTCACTATATCCATGTACACTGCTTTTTTCTCATAAATTAGAAATATTTCACGAAAATGCATAACAATTTTCTGAATCTTTAAACCCGGTAAAAAGAACATATATGAAATTACCTGATCACGAAAAAGTATATACCCTTTCCAAATATGAACATTTCCCCGTACAAAATAAATAAAATATCCAAAAACTTTTACCTCTACATTATCTTAATATTACAAACGTCACTAACTAATTCATACTGCAAACATTACAAATGGTTACAAATACTTGTAGTCAAATATAAATAGTGTCAAATATTTAAATTATTTCCATGCACGTTTACGCAAATTACTTTACTTCCACTTTACATTTAGAACAATGCATAAAAATAATATCCTCAAATAATTAAAAATACTAACTTACCTATTCTTCTTCCGAATCTTGATTACGTGTCCGATAAACTTTTCTTATTTCTGTTTCAGGATCTTTAAAATCATACTTATAGTTCACACCAAGGTACCAGGTAAAATAAATATTTTAAAACATCTTTACTTCTATCTCGCACAACCTTAAAGAAACACTTCTTACTACCCCTTTCAATCCCACTAAATACCCATTTCGAATTCACTTTAGTTAGGGCCATGGGATCCAAAAATTAACGAACACTGTTTCACACAACACAGAATGGTTCTTTTCCGTTTCGCCGGCGCAAATCTCACCAAGCAGAATTTATTGGCGACAACATACAGTATACACATAAAAAATATTAAAAAAATGTTAGTTCTAAGAATTCTTTTTTTTAATATCGCTTAAAATTTTATAAAAAGCCAATAAATAAAGACATTAAATTTGTAAAAAGACATCAATTTAAGAATTTACTATGTTTTCATGGTTCAACATTCTGATTCGCGATTCATATCACGTGACCCTCAAGAGATCTCACGTAAACTACTCTACAAAAATCTAATGCTATCAGTAATTATCTACATTAATTTCAAGTTAAATCTTAATTTGGAACACAAGTTTAAATGCAAGAAATATTTTAATTCGTACGAATAGCTTACTCAGAAATTATGTAAAACTGCAGTGCTTTACTTCGCTAATGCATTCTCATTAGAATTAATGAATTTAACCCTTGACTTTACCTTTTCTATATTTTCAGCTTCGGGTAAGCGCTGTGATTGCATCCTAATTGACTTAATTACCGAAATGGCCTTTGACATAAAACTGAACTATCTGATAAAAATTCTATGTAATTATATGCCAGTATTGAAAGAAACAATCAATCTGATAAGAAAAGCTGCGATTTGATTTCAAAATGAGGCGTAAAAGGTTACCAGCGAGAATATTCCGTTTGGCATCGGTTGTACCATTATTGGCAACTTTATCGCTTGCGCCGGCAAAACGGAAAAGTACCCACAGAATAAAGCCAAATACAAAATTTCCAGATTTTTTCCCGATTTCCCCCCCTTTTCCAATTAAAGAACCGTAATTCGTCCATTAATATCACATGACATATCCCATGATCTCTCATTTCCCTCACACAAAATAATGCGTAATCGGAACTGAGTACTGCTCACATTATTACCAATGTCCCAGGTAGTAACCTTTATCGCCTCCAAAATGTCGCCAAACTACCAGTTACCATATTCTAAAGATCAGCCTAAAATATTATTATTAAATTATTTTGCATAAAAAAAAAAAGGTTGGAATAGATTGAAGGGTGTCCCTTGTATTATTGCGAAGTTGTCGTTTCGTTTATCGCCAGGTTGTTGTTTCATTTATGGTAACCTGAGTAGTTGAGTATTATGGAAACCCTATTATGACATAATCAGCTGAGTGGTTGCGGTAAATTCTGAATGATGGAAAAGATTTGTAAAGGCTTGTGATGTGTGTTGGTTAGGAAATACATAGCTTGTTTTGCGGTTTAGACGGTAGAATGGTTGAATGTGGTAAGATTAATTTGAAGTTTCTGTACGATTTGGAACGAAAGGGGAAAAGAGCATTAATTGACTGGTGTGTAAATGAAGGTTTACTTAGTAACCATTATAAGTGTCCTGTTTGTAGGAAGGAAATGCGTACGTTTGAACGTTGGACGACACCTGCACTACGGAGGATATTTTTTACTCTTATTTTTGTGAATTTATGTGGCGAACCGATATACAGATAATTTTATAAAGATTTTGGATGCTGTTAAAGAATTGGCTGATCTTTGGAATATGATAACTGGTAGTTTGGCGACATTTTGGAGGCGATAAAGGTTACTACCTAGGACTTTGGTAATAATGTGAGAAGTATTCAGTTCCGATTACGCATTATTTTGTGTGAGGGAAAGAGAGATCATGAGATATGTCATGTGACATTAATGGACAAATTACAGTTCTTTAATCGGAAAAGGGGGGAAATCTGGAAAAATCTGGAAATTTTTTTGTAGCATTTTAGCTTTAGCTTCATAGTGTGTTGTGTGAAACAGTGTTGGTTAATTTTTGGATCCCATGGCCCTAACTAAAGTGAATTCGAAATGGGTATTTAGGCATTGTGATAAAGAGAAGTTTGCTTTTTATTTAGCGGAGGAAGTATGGAGGAAAAATTCGCAGAAAAAATCTTTCAATAATTTTATTGAATGAATCAGAAAAGTGTATCCGCCACGTAATCAAGATTCTGAAGAAGATTAGGTAAGTTAGTATTTTTAATTATTTGAGGATATTATTTTTATGCATTGTTCTAAATGTAAGGTGGAAAGGAATTTGGTATTATTGGGAAAATTGTTATTAGCAATGATTTAGTTTAAAGTAATTAGGATTGTAAGCTAATTTTTATTAATTTAATGTATGTGCTTATTTATATTTTAAGTAGTCTTGGAACTACTCTGATATGTGCCCTCAAGTCGCCACATTTCTCGCCAAATATTTTTGACGAGAAACTTCACGATGCCATATTACTATCTAAATTTTTTGTCTACATTTTGAACTTTTAGCCTAAAATGTCTCCAAAAACGCGGTTTTCGCACCTGCAAAAACTACGTTTTGAACACACAATTTAGCTAAAAATCCGAAACAAAAACAAAAAATTTAGATAGCAAACACGTAAAGTTACTAACCAAAAATATTTGACACGAATTCATGTACACAGCGACATGTTTTAACTTAAAAAAAATCTACGAATTGCACAATGTAGGCAACAAACGAATCTACAAACTACGCACACCTCGCTTTAATAAATTAACATAACAACAACAAATTTCAAAGAATACCATGTACACAGGATCCTGTTTAAACTTAAAAAATTTCTACGAATTGAATTGCACAAGTTAGGCAAGGAAGAAATTTACGATCTACGCACTCCTCGCTTTAATAAAATAACATAACAATAAATTTCAAATAATACCATGTACACAGCGTTCTGTTTCAACTTTAAAAAACATCTACGAATTTTACAGTCTAGACACTAAACAACAAAATAAACTAAAATAAATTTCAAACAATTTAAAAAAAACAACAATAACGACAGAAATTCATACTAAAGAACCAATGAACATAACATTCTACAAAATAAGAACAAGGATAAAATAAAATGCACTTACCATGAATTAATGCGTTTTCGAATAGCAGAAATATAAATTTCATACCGCCTTTAACATGCCGCCACGTAATCACTATCGTATTTACATGACAGCCAGACACACTATCCAGAAAATTTATACTATGGTTCACAAATAAATAAAATCACAAATCCCTACTTCTATCATGCACTGCCATTAAAAATAATCTCCCAGACCCTCTTTCCACACTTCCAAATACCCACTACCCCTCAACAGGATAGCCACAATCATATTTCCTTTTGCCGAACTTCAATTCAACAACTACCATTTTATCTTTCCCTCCCATCTTCTCAGACACAGAGGCGAACCAACGAGCTCCAGCGAAAGATTTTTCAACGTCAACGTCAACAGGGTTGCCATAGAACACGCAATCGCGCCAAAAACCAGCGCAGAACACATATCGCCACATATCGCCACATTTGGTGAAATTAGGGCGTATATTAGAGTTGTACCGTAGTCTTTTTTAATTATTATATTTTAATTAAATGATAGTTTTTTGTGAATTATATGTTTGTAGGAATTTGGTATACATTTCAGTGGAAGTAAACGTTCATGGAAATAATTTAAATATTCAACACTAAGTATTTGTAACCATTTGTAATGTTTGAGGTATGAATTCGTTGGTGACGTTTATAATATAATAGATAATTTAGAGGTAAAAGTTTTTGGATATTTTATTTATTTTATACGTGGAAATGTTCATCTTTGGAAAGGGTATACACTTTTTCGCGATCAGGTAATTTCTTATATGTTCTTTTTACCGGATTTAAAGATTCACAGAATTTTTTTGCATTTTCGTGCAAATTTTTGTAATTTATGAGAAATAGCAGTGTAGATGGATAAAGTTAAGAGTGTGTGCAAGTTGCCATTTTGTAAAGTAATTCTGGGATTTTTTTTAAGTAAAAATAAGTCGACGTTATAAATGGTTTATGTGTATGTGCTATTCTGAAAAACGCGCAAGGAGTTTGCGATTGTGCACTTTTTCCCAATTTTGCAGTTGATATTTATCATGATTAAGCAGTTTTGTTACATAAAATTTCTAGCATAAGTGTAATTTGACTAGGAGATTGTTGGAAAAAGTGTTCAGTAAATTTAAAAAAAAAAAAAAAAAAAAAACATGTCTTTACTTCGTGGAGACAAAATGGCGGCGAAAAAAAATAGAGGGTTGCTGTAGCAGAGTTGGTAGCCAAATTTTCGCCAAGTTACCATAATCCAAAGATCAACCTGAAGACGCAGAAATTTCGGGTGAAGGGCAGAATCGCTCACTTATTTGGCGTGTTATATTTGCAACGTTTTACAAGAGTAAGAAGAATTGGATTTTTGTTAATGTCTTTGACTTTTTAAGTGAAAATACATCAATGTGTACATGAACAAAGTCAAGGGAGTGTGCAATTCTCTGATTTTTTTTTAAGTGAAAATAGGTCTATGTGTACATGGATACCAAGTTTGTGCAATTCTTAAAAATGCGCCAAGCAGTGGGTGATTCTGCACTTTCCCCGAGATTTCTAAATAAGGCAAGTAAAAATTTGCTTTGTGTAGTGCTTAGATGTATAAGATAAATTTACTTTTTTATGTTATATTATTGTTTGATTTAAAATGTAGTTTATTGAGATTATGTATCAAATATTGTATTATGTATCAAGACTGTGTATGTTTGTTTGACTGTGCTGTAAAATTGGGTGTTCCTTTCACTTTTTAAGTGAAAACAGATCGATGTGTACATGGACAAAGTCAAGGGAGTGCACAATGACATGTTTTATGCAATTCTCTGATATTTTTTTAAGTGAAAATAGGTCGATGTGTGGCAATTTTTTTGCGAAAAATTGCCGCTACTACACAAAGCCAAAATAAAAAGTCAAAGAACTGCACAAACTCGGTATCCATGTACCACCAAAAATCGCCAAGGGACACCCATAAATATATTTTTACCAAATATAATTAATAAATCTACTTAGCGGCTATCATTTCTTTCATTTTGGTATAAATTATGTGGCAATTGCCTTTAGAAGAGATTTAAAGCAATTAATCATTTTACAGATTTACTATACTTCTGCAGAAACTTTATTGCAGTTTTTCCAATACAGGCAAATAAATACATACTTTAATTTAGTTCAAGACAAAAAATATATGTCTATAGAAATTTGGAATAATAATAATAAAGGCATACCAAAATGATCAAATTTGTTAAAAAAAATTAAGACCTGTCACACTAGTACATTCTGAGACACTCACAATTTCTACCAAGGTGGTTGTGATAATACATACAGATATGTTTCTTAAAATTAACAAAACTAAAGGGTTTCAGGGCTGTAGTCACTTCACCATCTAGTTCACCTAGCAGTAGGAGGCAACATTTTACATTATTTTCACAGCAATAAAGCTCTCGAATACCTACTAACTTTTCGAAAGCATACGCTCCCGATTATGAATGGAAAACATATGTTGTTCTTTATCATGAAACATTTAGAAATAAAAATAATTTGAATAACTACCATTTTAAGCATTAAATACACTTTGCAGGGCAGAACTAAAGATTGAAGTTGTACAGATTTTGTAGTTGTTGAGTCTGATTTGCTCAAGATTTATAGAAAGGTTTCTGAAATATTGGAATCTTTTACAATTTAATGCAATCCATATGAAGAGGGATGGCTAATTTTCTTATATCAGTCAAACTTTATAAGCAACTGAAAGGGAATGTTTCCATTTTTAAAAATTATTTAATAACAATATGAAAGAACTGAATTCTGACACTGAAGAATTGGGGGAAAACATATATACAACTGGAATCAGCTGATTAAATAAAAAAATATATATAATGTACTAAGAAATAATCCTCTCACGACATCATTATTTCAAAATAACAGAATATTGTTTTTGAGAAAATATTTGCATTTCATTTTTATGACTTCAAAATCTCCCCAGAAAAATATGACGCAACCGCTAAGATTGGAGTATAAACTTACAAATAAGTGCCAAGGGAATTTGATGATAGCTTAAGTTCCTTTAGCATTTATCCATGCAAATAAATGAGCACTAATCAACATAAAATCAATAACATGTATTTGGAATACTAATTAAATGTTTTCACCTGCCATTTTGATGCTCTCCACAAACCATCTTAATTGCGCTCATCATTCGAAATCGAACATCTTCATTGATGGGCTCGAAAATATTCTACATTTCGTACTTCCTTCCTTCAACTATCCGGGTTTATCTTTTATCTGTTTTATAAAAATACCGAAACTTACTTTTAAGATACTTAAAAAAAAACTTCTTCCCTGTATAACCTTCCTCAGTTTTAACGTTTCCCTTTTACTCATCGTTAGTAGCGTCTGCATCCTAAATTGCTTTACCTAGGCCAAAGAATGCGGCAGGACGCTACTGCAGTAGAATACTAGACTAGCGGCTCAAAACAGGGATGGCTGTGAACGGCTCCCTATGAGAAAATCTTTTGAACGAACTGCGCATGCGCCGTTTCTTTTTATCGCCAACAAATGATGGTAAACATATTGTAATTTCTCGCCAGCGTTTCGCGTTTCATTTGAATTAGCGTAGGTGTTATCAGTGAGATTAATAACAACGATAATAAAAAAAGTCATTTCAAATGTTTACGCAAGTAAATATTTTTTGCTCTTTTTCACACTATATATGCTATCATCGATAGAATTAAGAACTTTTAGTAATTAGGTCAAAATTAATTTTAACGTGTAAATTTCAAACTCACAAATTTGAGTACAGATTTTCATCAGATGTCTGAAGGCAGTTACTATATTTCAGTACAGCAAATCCTGGAATATAAAAGAAAAAAAATTTAATTGAAGTCTATTCTTCAGCTTCATTCTAATTCCTATCGATACATCTCTCTAAAACAGTTTATTACAGAAGTTTCAGATGTAAAAGAAGTTCATAAAAGTATTAATCAATGAAATTATTTCCAATGGTCGGTGAAATTGGTTGCAGTTTCAGACACTGTTGCAGAAGTTTTCACATACAATTGCTGTTTATTGTGCAAGTAATATTGAAACTAACTAAAGTGCTTGCATAGATTTCTGCATCTTGGCGGAAAAAATGGAACATTAGTGGAAACAAATTATGTATATATTGATACTGTAAAATTTGGGAGGTTTCAAAGACCCAGCAGAAAATATGGTGGCATTGATATCAGTTGCATATTTACTTTTCCAGACTATTATATCTGAAAAGTACGAAAAGCATTTCATCTACACCATCAGCTTCTTACAAAAATAACTGAGGCTCATCTCAGTTATTTTTGTAATATAGTATGTACGTATTAATAAAAGATGCTGTGAATGTAATTTGCTGTACAAGATAATAAACATGAGTGTCGTTAGGATTTCTAAATATATGTTTGAACAATTATGTACAAAACATTCCTTCAAATTCACTTGAAAGAAATGAAACGAAACTGAAAAAATTCAAGAATCAGTAAAAAGCAACTTTTTTTTATATTTGGATGATATTTTCTTAATGCTATGTTTAAAATCACAATTTCTTAAACTGTTTGTTTTAAGTATACATTTATACTTCTTGCAGGGTTAAAGTGGCCCTAAATCAACATAATTTATTATATTATAAATAATGAAAATTGTACATTACTTATATAAAGAGAAACATAAAGTGACATAGTATGTTAAGTTAGGTTTGCAAAGGTAATTTAAATATTTTCATTGTGCAAGACTTGTATGCTTAAGAATTTTTCAATCTTGGTGTTATTTATCGTATAAAACATCACAATTCAAATAAAAGTACTATTTTGTGGTATAATTCCATTATAGGGGCCGTAGCAAATTGCAGCAAAAATATATGCGCAAAATCTAAACGAAAGCGGCGATTTCACACACCACGTAAATTTAAATAGTTCTATATTTGTAAGTCATCGCCCACACGATATATTGATTAGGGAAGCTGACTGCGATACGACAAGGCCTAGGCTCGAATTCCGGAGAAGGCATGGTTATAACTGCTGGTTCCTTCATAGATTTTTCCGCACACCCCTATTGGTTTATTAGGTGCCTCCATAATAAAGTGACCACCACCTGGCCTTAGTTGTGGCCAAGCCGAAGGCCCGCCGTTGGGGGGGGGAATATTTGTAAGTCGCCATTGGAATACTGGTTTATTTTTTTTTATTCTTTTTTGATAATGATATGGATCTAACAATTTGGGAATTGCCCAATGACAAAATGTCTGCAATATAATTTTTCCAAAGAAAAGACATCATTCATTATAGAATATTATGATCGAAAAACCACGAGATGAAATTATGCTTTAGCGGTAACTCAATAGCGAAATGGAGGTGCAGGAATAAACCTGTATTCTGAAGAAAGGATTAAGAAGTCAGATATTGGATCGAAGGAACGAAAATCCCCTTCCTGATAACTGATAGGCAGGCTCACCTATTTTTGGTATCAAGAGATGACATCTATTGAATTTTGTGAACTCCAACTGAAGATGAACCACAATACAACCTTAGACTGGAAGATATGCGTGAGGTGTGTGCCATAGCTTTAATTTCTCAGTTGAAATTCGGCGGATGTGGAAAAAATTATGAAGCAGACAAAAGCCTTTTCAGTAGAAGCAAGAATAACATTGGACGTCTTCTTCTGCCACAATGGGTTTTCGGTGGATTGTGCAGAGAATCAAAAGAATGTTTTAGTCGCTATTCCAGATCGATCGGTGAAAACCTTATGGAACATCATAAAGGTTTGGTTTGGTTTATGTGATTAGAGCAAAGCCTCGAGGGCTATCTCCCTAAGGGAAGAGAGGCCTACGTGGAGGACTTTCTAAGGGAAACTGGCTTGTATACACGTTACACATAGAGAAAACCATTAAATTGTCCATACAGCCAGCCCGTTTGCGGGATTCAAACCTCAGACCGAACTACCAGTGTTCAGCGACTTTATCGCTCGGCCACTGATGTTCGAACATCATAAAGGAAAATGTCACAGAAGGAAGCATTATTTATACTGACTGCTAGAAATCATATAAGTTGGATGAACTGCGATATGTCGGCATTGAACATTTTACTGTCAACCACAACTAGAATTTTGTGGACCCCGAAACGGGGACCATACGCAAACGATACAGCGACTGTGGGGCAGTGCTAAATGGCGTAATAAACACCATCGGGGCACATTTCAATTCTTATTTGTCCGAGTTTATGTATAGACATTTGCACAAAAAAAAAAAAAAAAAAAAAAACTGAAATTTTTTCTGCGATGTTGCAGGATCTTAAAAATTTTATGCCTCCCGTTTAATTTCACTTATTTTTAACCCTTTTTTTTAATAAATTAAATTAACAAAAAAGTGTAATATATGAAGTTAACCTTCCATCAACTTAAATTAATAATCTTAGATAGTTACAATAATGCTTTCTTACAGTTACAATTAGCCGTTTGTTTATATTAAATTATAATAATAAAGTGTATTATATGAAAGTAAACTTTCATCTAAATTAAAATAATACTCTTAGATAGTTATTTTTTATTATTATGCTTTTCTTAAGTTAAGGTTACCATAATTATTTTGGCATCAACAATAGTTTTGGTGATTTTTTTGCGGTCCCTATAACGGAATTGTACCGTATTTTTAAATGAAAATCTAGTTATTTAAGTCCTTTGTATCTATAAAAATACATACTGCAATTATTTACTTAAGTCATAAGGCCCTTTTCAAAAGTTTATGTCTAGTTTAAAATAATTAGTTAATGTCAACTTAATCATATATATAATTATTGTAAAATCGTGGTGTTTAAAATGCTTTTCGCTACTGAAAAAGAGTGTTTTTGTTATAACTTTATAGAATTAAAAATCCCTCAAAGTAGTATATTTATAGTTTAAAATGTTTGTTAATAAAAATTTATTTATTTACATGATGTTTCTTAGAGTGAAGTAAAAAAAAAAAAAAAAAAAAAAAATGATTGCTTGCTTATTTATATTCATGAAGGTATATTTCTAATACAAGTAATAATAACTTTTGAAAAATGTTTCATGATTCGAGTAAAATCTGGATATAAGGGCCTTTATAGCAGTCGAAACAATGTCGTTTCTTTTCAAATTGTATGTGCCATGTTCAAATGCATGATTTATGTGAATTCAATCACAAATTTGATTCTGCTTTGATCTGAGTGTTTCATGATTTTTTGCTGTATTGAAGAAAATTTTTTGGAAATTAGTTAATGGCATTAAGGTTCTTTAAATTAGTGTGTTCAAGATTCGGCGTATATGAATCTATTCATGCACATTATGTTTCTGAGAATAAAATCAGAAAACTGTTATCCTCCTTATTTATAAATATGTTGGTAATTTCAAATGTAGGTAATAATGGAACTCTGATGTAAATAATAGAATTATTATAAAAAATGTTGTATGATTCTGACAAAATTTGAATGTAAAGGGTTTTTATATCATTTGACACAAGGCTGCGGTTATTCACTTCAATCAATTAGGCCCTTTTCAGATTGTATCTGCCATGTCCAAATGCATAATTGATGTGAATTTAATCACAAGTTTGATTCTTCTAATATATGGAGTTTTTCTAATTTTGAAGAAAGTGTTTTGGATATTGACTAATAGCATTAATACTCTTTCAAATAATGTAGCTATTATTTAATGTAGAGTTTATGTGAATCTATTCATGCATGTTGTTCCTGAAAATGACATCAGAACATTAAATACCTGTTTATTTATATTCATGAAAAAATATTTCAAACCTAGGTAATTATTTATTACTATTGTATGTAGAGCTAATATAAAGTGTTTCGCATTTGTGTTAGAAGTTGGATGTTTGAAGTTTTTGCTTTGAAAATTATTTCAAACCTTAAAAAAAACTGTCTTTAGTATTACAAAGTTTGCTTTATCTAAGTGTAATCGTATAACAAGTTAGGATATATAATTTAGATCTTTTATGCTTGTTCTCAGCATTAAAAAATCAAGTTATGGTTATATGCCAAAAAAAAAAAAAAAAAAAAAAAAAAAAGAGAGAATCTTTTCAAATTATGTGTCTAACATTCAGATGTTTGATTTAAGTCAGTTTATTTGAAAATGAAACTGAAGAAATTTATTACTTGCTACTATTATTAGTATGCGGTGTAGCTGAAAATCAAGTAAAAACATTTTATGATAAAATTTTTGTATCTGAAACTGCAAGATAATTTTCTTTTTTCCCTTTTTGTAATTTATTATGTACTTTAAAACTTGTTATTGAGTTCTTACATTTCCTTATTTTTCAAGTGTTAAAATACTATATGAAATTTTTATAGATGATTACTATATGATATACTATATGATTTTTTAGTAAAATAAAAATTTATTTTTGATTTGTGCAATTTTCTTACTTTATGAAATCACAAAACTTGTTTAAGAACTACAAAACTCGTTTAAGAACATCTTATTACAAATAATGTTTAAACATTTAATACTTCTAAAATCTAAATTTATAGGTGATGAAAGCATAAATGAAGAAGTACGTCATACTCAATTAATCACACTACATAAGAGAAACATTTACGAAAGTCAGTAAACATGTATTGCCACTATTTCATTATTATTTTTTTTTAATTTG